AAATGTAACAAGCATCCAAGCATCCTCATCCAATGTGGCCACAAAACGTAGATTGTTACCACGAGGTGAAGCCTTGGGCCACCTGGTATCTAAGCTCCCATCACTGCCACAACATCACACTAGGGCCTCGACATACTTGGATGGAATGCTCTCGACAGTTATTCATTTTCCTGAATTCGATCAGGAAAAAGCAATGAAGTTCATAATATTTCTAAATTTCTCATAAAAGGCCCTCCTCTCAAAGAAGTATGCTGCAGACCCAAGAGCAAACCTCATACAACAACTAATTATCACCATTAGCTCCAGTAAACACCTCAGGCATACTGAGCACTTACTCTTCTAAACTCTACAGGGACTAAACAACTCTATGAGATATATAATTATTGTTACTCCTTTTTTTTTTGAGACAGTCTTGCTCTGCTGCCAGGCTGGAGTGCAGTGGTGTGATCTCAGCTCACTGTAACCTCCGCCTCCCGGGTTCAAGTGATTCTTGTGCCTCAGCCTCCTGAGTAGCTGGGACTACAGGCACATGCCATCACGCCCAGCTATTTTTTTGTATTTTTAGTAGAGACAGGGTTTCACCATGTTGGCCAAGATGGTCTTGATCTCATGACCTCGTGATCCACCCATCTCAGCCTCCCAAAGTGCTGAGATTCCAGGCATGAGCCACTGTATTATTCGGCATTATTTCCATTTTACAGATGAATCAACAGAAACTGAGAGAGGTATTTTCCCAAGATCACACAGCTAGTAAGCAGCAGAGCCTAGTGTAAACCCAGCTCCTCGACGGACTCCTGCATCCTGGCTCCTAACAAACAATCCCTGCTGTGTCACCATGAGAGGAACTCCATTCAGCCATCAGCAAAGGACACGATGTCACAGGATGGTTTCCAGCAACGCAGGTGAAATGCCTTGTTTCCTAACTATACCATTTCAATCATTTCCTCAACATCAGGATGTGGTAACTTTCTCAAGAGACAAAAGAGCTTTGAAACCAGGGTATTCCTCCAGCAAATAAACCGCATGTCTTCACGACATATGCTAAGTGACCCCAGAAATGACTGCATTCTGTCCCCTACAACATGTGGCATCTTGTTTTTGGTTTTTTTAACCACAAATCTCCCAACCATTCCCCAGCTTTATTGCCTAGAACCAGTAAGCGAAATGGGTGGATCGGGTTCAAAACTGCCTCTTCTCACTTACTATCTCAAAGACCGTGAACAAATTAGTATCAGTGAATCTTTGTTTCTCTGTTCAATAAAATGGGAGAATTAACTCCAAAAACTCACATGGTTGTTTTAAGGATTAAAACAGTGCTATTGGGCCAGGCCAGCCGTGGTGGCTCACACCTGTAATCGAAACACTACGGGAGGCCGAGGTGGGTGGATCACCTGAGGTTGGCAGTTCAAGACCAGCCTGATCAACAAGAAGAAACCCTGTCTCTACTAAAAATACAAAATTACCCAGGCGTGGTGGCCCATGCCTATAATCGCAGCTCACTGCGATTATATATCCTCTAGATATATACTCTAGAGGCTGAGGCAAGAGAATCGCTTGAACCCAGGAGGCAGAGGTTGCAATGAGCCGAGATCACACCACTGCACTCCAGCCTGGGCAACAAGAGTGAAACTCAGTCTCAAAAACAAACAAACAACAAACAAAACAGCACTATGTATCTCAAGTATCCAGTAGACAGCCTGACCCATTACATATTCCTTTCTTCGTCCTTTACCGACCCACCAACTTTAGCGCTCATGCTGCCATCCCCCAGTCTCCAGTTATATTTCAGGAAGCTCCTCCATCTCTCTGGGCTTCTCAAAATGTCTCCAAACTTCAGGATTCCCATCTTGACATTGCTACTCCTGAAAATGCAGATTATATACAAGAGCATTACACAATTTGAATCCAAACTCTTGCCACTGTCTAAGAAATACATTGGCCAGGTGAGGTGGCTCATGCCTGTAATCCCAGCACTCTGGGACACGAGGCGGGCAGACCACCTGAAGTTGTGAGTTTGGGACCAGCCTGACCAACATGGAGAAATCCCATCTCTACTAAAAATACAAAATTATCTGGGGGTGGTGGCGCATGCTTGTAATCCCAGCTACTGGGGAGGCTGAGGCAGGAGAATCGCTTGAACCCAGGAGGCAGAAGTTGCAGCGAGCTGAGATCGCGCCATTGCACTCCAGCCTGAGCAACAAGAACAAAACTCCATCTAAAAAATAAAATAAAATACATAAAATAAAAAAATAGATCGATTCCAGGCTAAACATGGTGGTTCCCGCCTGTAATCCCAGCACTTGAGGAGGCCAAGGCAGGTAGATGACCTGAGGTCAGAAATTCAAGACCAGCCTGGCCAACATAGTGAAACTCCATCTCTAAAAATACAAAAATTAGCCGGGCATGGTAGCAGATGCCTGTAATCCCAGCTACTTGGGAAGCTGAGGCAGGAGAACGGCTTTGAACTCAGGAGGCAGAGGTTGCAGTGAGCCAAAACCATGCCATTGCACTCCAACTTGGGTAATGAGCGAAACGCCATCTCAAAAGAAAGATTAGTTTCAAAGCTAGCAAACTCTAAAAGGGGCGTAATACTCCATTCTAACACTAACCAGAAAACTTACTTTTATTTTATTATTATTTTCCTCCTGTGTAGCCTGGTTTTGGAGAAAACTTACTTTTAAATAAAAGTATCCTTCTGGGTCTCCATATGAACGGCTCATATTTCAATCATGCTAATGATCACTTTTGAACAAGATTTGAATTTTTTTCTCATGCACTGACTCAGAAGTTCTCAAGTCTGATTGCATATTTAAATCATCAGGGGAGATTAGAAAAAAATATTTATATAGATTCCCAAGGCCAACCCTAAATTCTCATTTTAAAGGGCTAGAATGGGTCAGAAAAGGGTAGTTAAGTTTCCCTGGTGATTCTAATGCACAGCCAGGGTCAGGACACACACACACACCTGTTGGGCAGGTCATCTTTCATTTATCCTCGAATCCCAATCATCTGGAGTGGCTCCTGCACATAGTAGGCTTCTCATAATCGCTCATGGCACGAATTAATAACCACCTGATTTTACAATCCACTCATGTTAATTCATTACAATATTTAATGATGGTGTAGGATGCACCAGGCACTATTCCAGGCATACAGTTCAAGTCAAATGTCATTATTAAAATGCAAGAGGGCCAGGTATCCTGGCTGATGCTTGTAATCCTAGCACTTTGCGAGGCTGAGACAGGTGGGTCACCTAAGGTGAGGAGTTTGAAACCAGCCTGGTCAATATGGCAAAACCCCGTCTCTACTAAAAATACAAAAATTAGCCGTGTGTGGTGGCAGGTGCCTGTAATCCCAGCTACTCAGGAGGCTGAGGCAGGAGAATCGCTTGAACCCGGGAGGCAGAGGTTGCAGTGAGCCGAGATCATGCCATTGCACTCCAGGGCAAGGCTCCGTCTCCAAAATAAATAAATAAATAAAAATAAAAACGCAGGAGGCTGAGGCGGAGGGTTCTCTGAGGCCAAGAGTTCCAGGCCAGCCTGAGCAACATAGCAAGACCTTCCCCTCCCATGCCCCCGTTTAAAAAAATAAACGCAGAACAGAGAAGGGAGGGGTGAGGGAACTGTCTTTGGGTCAGACATTACGGAGTTCCATCTCCATTTTGCAGTCTTCCCTGCAGCCCTTACGACCTCCCTAAGCGCCACTTTCCTCCGTGTAACCTCAGTGAGGCCTCCTCTTCAGAGGATTCTGGAAGCCAGGGACAAAGACCCCACAAAATGGCCGCCGGCACCATTCTTTTATTTTTTTTAATTCCACTGACACCTGGTGAAGCCACCCTTGGGGTTCACCCCACCCGCTGCGTCTCCTGTTCCAAGCAGCTGACGCAGCCATAAGCGGCTGCCACCGGGAAGTGCCCAGGGAAGCCAGAGGAAGGGCGGAGCAGATAGGACGCCGGCCCCGCCCGGCGCCGCCGCGCTCAGCCTCCCGCGGGCTCCAGCCTCACCTGCGCGGCCTGTGGAAATGCACATTCCCCAGGCCCCACCCCCCAGAACTCTGATTGGCGGGTCTAGGCGGGGCCAGGGGATCTGCATTTGCACCAGCGCCCACCCCCTTCCTTCCCACCCCCGCCCCTCACGCCCAGGTAAGTCTATGGCAGGCGATGCGAGGGCAAACCTCCACAGGTCACGCTGCCATCCTCCGAACAGGAAGACCGCGAGTTGCAAAATACCAACCCGTCCCCTCTCCCCTCCTGCGGGAAAACCCTCCCTTCTTCCGCGCCTAGGTTGCCCTCGGGGTCTCCTGCTGCGGGAAGGGCACAGCAGGTGGCATCCCCTATCCCAGCTGTGGGAATCCTCCCCCCAAATTGTGGGAGAAGAACACAAGGGGTAGTGTCACCAAGAGACCAGGAGGAAGCCCTCCCACCCTCCTGCGGCTGCTGGTTCGGGTCCACCCCAAGCGGAGGAGGAAGCGGCCACCGGAGCGCAGGTGGTCTCCGCGCAGCCTCCTGGGACTGGGGCCAGGGGCGCTGATGGGCAACCCCGCGGCGTAGGCCGTGCCCCCTAAAAGCTGAGCGTATCTGGGCTTCCCAAGGAATGCTCCAAGCGCAGAGCTCGGTGAGATACTGACCAAATCGTAATCGCAACCACAGATACTAATTACGGAACAATAAAACGGTTAGAAAATACGGCTGATCCGAATTCCGCGAGTGTGTAAACAGCGCTGGGGCGGGCCCGGCTTCTCCGGGTTTCTAAAGGAAGGTGGGCCGGGGGGTAGGGGGCAGGCCATCGGGCGCTAGAACCCCACAAGGTCGGGATCTGGCTAGCGGCCGGCCGGGGCTGGAGCGCAGGGACCCCCTCCCCGCCTCCCCGGCCCTGCCCCGGGCTCATGGCGCCGGGCGCCGGGCGCCGCGCGGGGCCAACCTGTCAGGCCCGGCCAGGCTGCCTGAGCGCCGGACTCGGGGCGGCCCGGACAAAGAAGGAAGCGGGCCGGGGCCCACTCACCCGGCGCGGGGCCTGCTGTCCATCCGCTTCTTCTGGCGCACTGGCTGCAGCGGGATGTTGTCCGTCATGTCGGCAGCGCCGCCCGCCTTAGCTGCCGCGCCCCCCGCGCTGCCTGGGCCGCCGCCCGGTCCGGCCTCCGCGCCGCCGCCCGCCGGCGCCGCGCAGCCCCGGGGGAGGAGGCGGCGGCAGCGGGCGGACCGGGCCCGCAGCGAGGGGGCGAGCTCGCGAGCGCCGGGCCACGCGCGGAGCCGCCCGCGCGGCCCGACCGACGGACACGGGCGCACCATGGGCCCGAGCTCCGCGCTGCGCCCGCTCGCTTCGCGCTGCACCGCGCCTGCCACTGGGGGCGACCGGGCCGTGTCCGCGCCGCCGCGGCCGCCGCAGTATCCCCGCCCCCGGCCCGCGCCGCGCGCCCCCCACGCGCGCCCACCCGGCCACGCGCCCCCCGCCCACGCCTGCCGTGCGCGCGCCCCGTACCCCCCCCACCCAAATCCTACATTCACAATCACATACCAGCCTACACACGCGCGCTGTCACACTCATCTGCACCAACATCTGATATGCACAATCACACGGGCATCCGGCCACGCTCACCCCATCAGTCACACTCATTCCCACTCGCTCACTCTTGCACCAACTTGCACATTCAGGTGCAGGCCCTACACACACACACCTGCTGCTGCTCACTACCGGCAACATCCGGCATTCACAATCACAGGTGAGTTCTGCGCGCGCACGCGCACACACACATACACACGCTCACCCTCCCGTTGGTCACCATCATCCATGCACCCAACTTCTCAAGCCTTACACACATGCGCCCGCAGAAATCACAGTCACACAGGGACCCTCGGCTTTTCAGTCTCCCTCACCCTCAGTCCTTTGCCATCCTCACCCTCATTCTCTACCTGGATTGTGAGAACTCACCGTCACATACACACACCGGCCTCTTTCATCCAAACACCCTTCAATAATCGGAACACCCTCATTCTCACACCAGCCACTTTCTCTGACTTGCACATGGGCCCCCATCTCAGGCCTCAGTCACTCTGCATTCCCCGTCCCTGTGATTCAAGCTCACACACACACCTATCTCCTTCACCACATCCCACATTCACAGTCCCTTGCACACTCTCCCACATACTGTCTAGGATCATGAACTTTCCAAAGGCCTGATAAAGTTTTGAGAGCAGAAAAAAAAAGTGGGAAGGAACAAAGTGAAGGAGTTTAAAAATCAATATGTAGGCCGGGCGCGGTGGCTCACACCTATAATCCCAGCGCTTTGGGAGGCCGAGGCGGGTGGATCACAAGGTCAAGAGATCAAGACCATCCTGGTCAACATGGTGAAACCCCGTCTCTACTAAAAATACAAAAATTAGCTGGGCATGGTGGTGTGTGCCTGTAATCCCAGCTACTCGGGAGGCTGAGGCAGGAGAATTGCTTTAACCCAGGAGGCGGAGGTTGCGGTGAACCGAGATCACGCCATTGCACTCCAGCCTGGGTAACAAGAGTAAAACTCGGTCTCAAAAAAAAATCAATATGTAGACCGAGTACGGTGGCTCACCCCTGTAATCCCAGCATTTGGGGAAGCTGAGGTGAGCGGATCACCAGAGGTCGGGGGTTCGAGATCAGCCTGACCAACATGGAGAAACCCCATCTCTACTAAAAATACAAAATTAGCTGGGTGTGGTGGTATATGCCTGTAATCTCAGCTACTCAGGAGGCTGAGGCAAGAGAATTTCTTAAACCCGGGAGGTGGAGGTTGAGGTGAGCCAAGATCGAACCATTGCATTCTAGCCTGAGTAACAAGAGCAAAACTCCATTCGAAAAAAAAAATCCATATCTAACAAAAGAGCCTGAAAATGTAATACCATATAAACTAATCTAAATCTGACTTTTATGTAGTTACATCTAATGACAGATCATGTTGGGTGTGGATGCCATTTCTTTTCTTTTTCTTTTTGAAATAGCATCTCCCCCTGTCACCCAGACTGGAGCGCAGTGGTGAAATCTCAGCTCACTGCAACCTCCACCTCCCAGGTTCAAGCAATTCTCCTGCCTCAGCCACCCAAGTGGCTGGGATTACAGACACGCCACCACTGTGCCCAGCTAATTTTCGTATTTTTAGTAGAGATGGGGTTTCACCATGTTGGCCAGGCTGGTCTTGAACTCCTGGCCTCATGTAATCTGCCCACCTCGGCCTCCCAAAGTGCTGGGATTACAGGCGTGGGCCACTGCACCTGGCCCTTTTCTTTTATCTTTCCGTTTTTTAACTTAGTGCTAACTGCCGGTAAGTGAATGCCTTTTATGTTTGCGATCATACAGGGTGGAATCACCAAATAACCCAGTGTCTGGGGTGGATCTCAAACCAAGAAGTGTGACTTACCTCATGCCCCAGAGAAGTCTCTCAAGAAAAGAAGCATGTCATTAGTAATTGCTGCATTGGTGAAAGCATGCATTAGTAATTGCTGCTTTGGAGAGGAAATAGCATTCTCTAGCCAACAGATCTGTGTGTTTTGCTTCCTGCTATCTCTTCTAGATCTAAAATGATGCTTCATACATAGCATGGCACACAGTTGGCACTCAATAAAGGCTTCTTGCATGGAAGAAGTATAAACACTCTGACATGCCAATTATGGCATCAGAGTGGGTGCCACCATCTCCCATCTGCTTTGCTAGACATCCACCTTTCAAACCTACACCCTCTACTACACGGGGTACAAGAGAAGATCAAGGAGGCTGGGCACAGTGGCTCACGCCTGTAATCCTGACACTGAGAGGCTGAGGCAGGAGAATCACTTGAACCTGGGAGGCAGAAGTTGCTGTGAGCTGAGACCATGCCGCTGCACTCCAGCTCGGGCAACAGTGTGAGACTCTGTCTCAAAAAAAAAAAAAAAAAGAAAAGAAAAGAAAAAAAGTTATTGTAAAAGCCACTTGTGTTTTGCTAGAGAAAACATGGAGTGTCGACAAAACAAAGTAAGGAAATATTTAAGATCCACCTGGATGTACCACACTAAGGCAAAATGTTAATATGGGAAATTGTCCCTGTGACTGGGGACACGGATATAGGATGGGGACATATGGAACTCTCTGGGCTAATCTGCTTGCATTTTCTATGAATGGAAAACTACTAAAAAAAAAAAATTCCCTGCTAATTAAATTGTATTGTAAAAACCCACCTGGAATCTTTTTTTCAGAGTCAATCACTGATAATGCTCTTGTGTTCATTCTTGAATTGGGGAAAAATATGAATATTCATATCACAGAAATAGGACCTGTAATAGCTAACTTTTTTTTTTTTTTCGAAACTGAGTCTCGCACTGTTGCCTGAGCTGGAGTACAATGGCGTGATATCGGCTCACTGCAACCTCCACCTCCTGAGTTCAATCAATTCTTCTGCCTCAGCCTCCTAAGTAGCTAGGATTGCAGGTGCTCACCACCATGCCCTGCTAATTTTTTTTTTTTTTTTTGTATTTTTAGTAGAGATGGGGTTTCATCATGTTGGCTAGGCTGCTCTTGAACTCTTGACCTCAGGTGATCTGCCCACCTTGGCCTCCCAAAGTGCAGGGATTACAGGCGTGAGCCACTGAGTCCAGCTAATAGCTAACCTTTGATGTGCATTTACATGTGGCAGACGTTGTACTAAGTTCTTTTTTTACATTTTTCATGATTGCACTTAATCATTCCAACAATTTTTTTTTTTTTTTTTTGAGACTGAGTCTCACATTGTTGCTCAGACTGGAGTGCAGTGGCACGGTCTCAGCTCACTACAACCTCTGCCTCCCAGGTTCAAGTGATTCTCCTGCCTCAGCCTCCCAAGTAGCTAGGATTACAGGCACCTACCACCACGCCTGGCCACTTTTTTGCACTTTTAGTAGAGATGGGGTTTCACTATGTTGGTCAGGCTGGTCTCGAACACCTGACCTCATGATTGCACTTAATCATTCCAACAATTTTTTTTTTGTTTTTTTTTGTTTTTTGAGACAGAGTCTTACCTTGTTGCCCAGGCTGGAGTGCAATGGTGTGATCTCGGCTCACTGCAACTTCTGCCTCCCAGGTCAAGAGATTCTCCCGCCTCAGCCTCCCAAGTAGCTGGGACTACAGGCACACCCCGGCTAATTTTTGTATTTTTACTAGAGATAAGATTTTGTCATGTTAGCCAGGCTAGTCTCAAACTCCTGACCTCAGGTGATCTACCTGACTTGGCCTCCCTAAGTGCTGGGATTACAGGTGTGTGCCACCACACCTGGCCATTTTTAGTTTTAGAGACAGGGTCTTGCTCTGTTGTAGCTGGGACTACAGATGTGCACTGCCATGCCAGGCAATTTATTTAATTTTTTTGTAGAGACAAGGCTTCACTATGTGGTCCAGGCTGGCCTTGAACTCCTGGGCTCCAGCCATCCTCCTCCCTTGGCCTTCCAGTGTCCTGGGTGTGAGCCACTGCACCAGGCCAAGACTCCTTTTCAGCAAGGTAATCCCTCAGGAAGGGAGACACTCACAGGTTTTAATCTTACGCTTGAGAGAGAATCAGATGCCTGCTTGGGACAGGCAAGACACCCAAGGGATCAACAGAGCAGCGCGAGGGTCTGGGAGAGAAGCAAGGCTGAGGGCAGCGATGGAATGTGAGAGCTTCATCTGAGGTCCCCTTCTGGGGATGCAGCACCTCTCTTCCTGAAACAGCACTGCCTTCTCCCCAGGAATGGTCACCTAATGGTTCTGCTTCCTCAGGGAAAGCCACTTGCAGAGGTCCATGACAATCCTCTCCATCCAGCAGGCCCTGGGTGCAGTACACCCCTGACTCCTAGGTACCTGGAGTAGAAAGGTCCTGGAGAGATAAGTCAATCTAGTCTGACTTCTACTTTCCAGAAATCAGAGAGCCTGTGGCCCACAGAGGTCACATTACATGCCTCTATGTCATATGCCATCCATACCTGGTGAATGCCAGGCTGGAGCTGGAATATATCCTGAAACTTTCAGTTTGGTCCACCATGAAGCCTATAAACCTTCAAGCCCACTGCTGCTTTATTTTTTATTTTTTTATTTATTTGGAGACGGAATCTCGCTCTGTCGCCCAGTGGTGTGATCTTGGTTCACTGCAACCTCCACCTCCCAGGTTCAAGCAATTCTCCTGCCTCAGCCTTCAGTGTAGCTGGGGTTAACAGTGCCTGCCACCACAGCTGGCTAATTTTTGTATTTTTAGTAGAGACAGTTTTTCACCACGTTGGCCAGACTGGTCTCGAACTCCTGGCCTCAGGTGATCCACTGCCTCAGCCTTCCAGAGTGCTGGGATTACAGGTGTGAGCCACTGTGCTCTGCCCCCACTGCTACTTTAAACCTGCTGCAAAGAAGGGGCGTTTGATGGTAAGCAGGCAAGA